TCAATCGCAACCATCAAGTTGCAGGACATCAAGTGGTTCAGCCTCGATTCCAGCAGCACCTGGCACGGGGTGGCGACGAGCGGTGGCTTCGCAGATACTGCACGCGAGCATCCGAGCGAAGGTGATGACCCAGGGCTGAGCTCCTCTCCGCGCGAGGTAAACTCGCATGGCGTTGACCCCCATGTGATTCATGTTGATGCGTATGCTCATCAACTCGTCTTTGACCAACTCGACCGTCTTCGGCTCCATCTCCTTCATTACCTCCTCGGACTCCTCCTCATTCTCGAAGATGTCACCCTGTTATGTCACCATGGCCTTCCGCAGCTCGAGAAAGTCGTCGCAGTCTTCCTCCCAGGTGGTGGTGGCTGCTCACTTCTTGCACGCCGCCTTCGGGGACGTCGCCGTCTCTCCCGCGTCTACAGCCCCTGTCTCGATCACGGTGTGCATGCGGCCTCGTATGCATCTCCTCCTTAGTCGATCAGCAAGCCGTTGGCAGGTGGCGAGAATTCAATCGTTTCCCGATGAGATATCCGGTGGCCGTGCCCCTCATGCCCCAACCACATCCGTGCGCGACGGCCTCGTGAAGCTGCCGCCACATATCGAACAACTCCATCATGCTCCTCCGCGGGTTTGCGGCGAGTGTATGTTCGAGAGATCCCCGTACCAAACTCCTTCCAGGTGTACAGTAACACCTCCATGACGTTCCTGGTCACACGTCTGCCCCACTTCCTTTAAACTCCACCAGCCGCTCCTGAGACTTCACCGTGTTGGGCCCCCCGTTCTGCAGGGCTGAGAACGGCGCGCATGGCGGCGGCGCGCGCGCCCATCTCGGTCTTTCCACTCCTCTGGATTGGTGACCGCCTTCTTCTGGCTTAAGTCGAACAGGTTGAACAGTCCCATCGAGTCGTCTGGCCGCCCACGTTCTCCATCTCCGTGCTCGGGCCGCTGCCGGGGGTGCGCGGATCTCCAGCAGGTCGGTCCAGCAGTGGCTTTGAGTGGATGGCTGCCTGCATGGGGTCGACGCCGTACTCTCCGAGGTAAGTCCTTCGCCGCTCGCAGGCGATCCCCCGCCAAACCCAGTGGCCGATGGCGGCTCCCGAGTCCTGTCGCCACCGCGAACCGCATGCGGCGCGTGCTCCAGGAGCTGTCCGTCAGCATGCCATCGACGATGGGATTGGATCCGAAGTGCAACTCTCTGCGAGCGATTCGCCCCCGTGGGCCCTGTCTCGCTTCCGCCGATAATTATTGGGGTCGCCCGCCCTATTGCACTTCGTCAGGCCGTGGCTCGACACCTGCTTGCCCTCCATCTCGACGTCGAAGACTTCTCCGGCCGGCATCTTCCGGTCGAAAGGCGTGCTAGAATTTGTCGTTGTCGATGTTGACAGAGGGGGTCGGCCCATTTGCCACTGGGGGCTCCGTCGGCTTTGCGAGTTTCTCCTTCGTGACTGGCTGGTCGGTCGATCGCCCCTTCGTTCTGGCCACTGGCGACGTCTTCCTGATCCCGGCGTCCATCTGGAGGCGCTTCCCTTGCTCCTTGGACCAGGCGACCTCCGCCTGCGGCGCCGCGACGGCGGCGGCGTTCCCGCTCGAGCTCGACGCGCTGCTTCGGCCAGTGGGCCGCCCCGCGCTGCTCGACGCGCCGAGGCCCCCCTCTGCTCCTCGATGGTGTCCAGGTCTGTCGCCATGTCTCCATCGCCCGACTCCGCAGGTCGTCGCAGTACCCCGCCGGCTCCTGGCTGGCAGCGGCACGCGCGCACTGCGACTGCTGCCCCGAGCAGCGAGGCTCCTCCGCGACGCGCGGCGGCGCCAAATCCCATCGCTCGAACTCCTCGCCCGAGATCTCTACTCTCTCGGCGGTCTCCTCAGACCCCTGACGGCCGGCCGCTCATAGCGGTCGCTCCTCCCAGAGCGCGCGCTTGACACGCGCGGCTCTGGAGGCAGAGGGCAAAGCGCCGGATGCGATCTTTCCGAGACCTCGACATTCGCGGCAAAAGCGCGTTCCCAACGGGAGGTCCCACGCATATCATGTCCCAGGACGCCCCGAGATACTCCGAGTTCACGATGTGTTCCGTCCAGTTCGGGGCGTCGCTGAAGTTCCTGACATGCTCTGGTTCGTTCCGAATGTCGCTGACAGAGACGGCTGCGAAGGCCTCCAAGACAGCTCCAAGAGAGGAGGAGGAGGAGGAGGAGGAGGAGGAGGAGGAGGAGGAGGAGGCCCCTGATGCCCGCAAGAGGGCGCGAAGACGGGCCAAGAGGGCCCCGAGACGCCACGGGGCCCTCGAGACGGCCCCACCAGCCCTCCAAGACGGCCCTGAAGCGCCCAAGGAGGATCCATGACGGCCCAGATGAAGGGGCCCTGGGACACACAAATGAATACACACAAATCAAAGGATTCCCAATATTTTCATGTATTTTCGGGTGTTCTGTCTCCCCCAACTTCTCATCTGTTCCCATCTTATCCTGGGAATCGACGATGGATTGTGCCTGTGTGTTTCCCCCCCCCCTGACCAGAGGCCTCCACGACAGCCTCCGAAGGCCAAAAGGCCCCGCAGAGGCCCCCCCAGGCCCCCCCAGGAGGCCTCCAGCGATGCCAGAGCCCCCCAGGCCCCGCAGAGGCCCCACAGGCCCCCCCAAGAGGCTCCCCGGAAGACGGCCCGAGAGGCCCCCAAGACGGCCCCGTAAACCTCAAAGACGGCGCCAAATGCGCCCACGGAAGAACACGCGACTGTCCAGAGAGGACCCCAAAACGGCCTCCGAAGGCCAAGAGGTTCCTTCAGCGGCCCCCAGAAGCCCTCAAGAGGCTCCCCCAAAGCCCCCTTAAGAGACCCCTGCAGGCCCCCAACAGGCCCCTTTGAGGCCCCGAAGACGCTCGGAGGAAGTCCTCAGGAGGCCCCAACAGGGCTTCAAGAGGCCTCCTCTTCGTCGTCCTCCTCCTCCTCCTCCTCCTCCTTCTCCTCCCTCGCCTCCGTCCTGTTCCCCAACAGTTTCCACAACCGCTGCGGGAACACAGAATCCAGATTGCTTCGGCAGACTTCGGCCCATCGTTTGACCTCACTGACGTTTTCGCAAGGCAGGTGGCGGCGGTGACTCGCCGCAGGCGTCTTCGATCCGCCGCCCCCTGCTGCCTGCCACAGGGGTGCAGGGCATGCTGAATTTGCGGTTGCCCAACCCTTGGAGCACGCTCCCCGTGGGGTCTTGGCCTGTCCCTGAGGTGACGTCTGACATCAGCGTGCGAGACGGCACCATCCGCGTGCCTCTCGGGCAGAGGTCCAAGAGGCCCGAGGGCTCCCAAATTCGCGCTTCGCGCTGAGCGAAGCGCGAAGCGAGAATAACTTCGCGCTCTCGCGCCGCCTCCCAGTGGAGAAGAGGAGGATGCGGAATCGGAGCCGAACCGCGAAGCGCGAATAACTTCGCGCCCTCGAGGGCGCCCTTGATCCACGTGCCTCCCGGGCAGAGGTCCAAGAGGCCGCGCTCAGTGTCCTGCACGCACGCGGCCCACGAGCTGCTGTGCGCGGAAATCGAGCCACAGGACACCCACGCGTACTCCATGCAACGCCCGCCGATCTCCGCCAGGTGCCAAGAGACATCCGCGTGGAGACCAAAGTAGGGCCCAGTGCCATACGCGCGGTCCTCCATACCGCTGACAAGCTCGCGATACATGTTTGGAAAACGGCGCATAGGCACCACAACTCACAGGATCTGGCCTGCTACCCCCTGCAAACTGGACCAGCCGATCCAAGCAGCGTCATCCCCGTGGCACGCGTCAAAAGACAGATTGCAACCAGAATTGCACTCCCTGGCGAGGCAAAGGCCGCCAGACTCCCGGCAGACAATCACAGTCGACGTAGCAACCGGGGCTCACCACACCACTCGGGGCGCTCGACCTCTGGAATGGTGCGTTCTGGCTCAAGCCCGCCATCCCACGAGTCACAGCGCCAGGCGCCATACTCGGCAAGGTAGCACAGAGACAGCTGCCCTTGGACCGTGGTCACGTACGAACGCGTCGCGCTGCCTGAGTTGCCTCTCAGCTGCTCCACGCTCAGACACGGGCAGCCAGCCTTCGCCCTCACGGTAGCACGCGGGCACCTCGGCAGCGCGAGGACCGCGCACCAGAGCAGCGCCCGCGCTGGCAGCTGCCAGCTCCACGAGGCAGACGTGGCCGCAGCTCGGCCTTGAGCCAGACTGGTTGCTTCGGCCTTTAGCCAAAATGGCTACGGACCTGGAGGTTCTCCCTCTTTCTCCTCCTCCTCCTCCTTCTCCTCCTCTTTCTCCTCCAGCTGCCTGTCACGACCGTCTCTCCGCTGGGAAAAGGAGCTCTCGTATACTACAACGCTCTGGGATCGGCGGGAGAAAAAGAACACATGTTGCTCCTTAGCCTGCGGAGCTACAGAGAAGAAGGAGGAAGAAGAAGGGGAAGAGAAAAAGGAGGAGGAGGAGTGCCACATGATACGGCAATCTGGAACCGGGGGATGAGAACTGTAAAATTCTACGGCCTTCTGGGCGGTTCACGAATCGAAGGGTCGCCACGCAGAGTGTTGCGCTGGCAGGGTGAAAGGACTTGCCGCAGGCGCCTGGATAACAAGACACCCTGCAGGCGAGCCCATGTGGGGAGCGGCAAGTGGCACAGAACTCCTAACTCAATTGCCAGAGACAGGCCGGAGACGGAGGAGCACCGGGGAGCAGGGGGCGAAGAGAAGAGGGCAGGGCAGGGAGGACAAAGAAGCGTGGAGTGACGCCTGATCGCAATGTGAGAGGCTATCGAGAAGTCCACAACGAACAACAGCTGGCATGAACCAGACGGGTGCCGAGGGAAACGGGTCCTGGACCCCAGGGCCGTGCCGTGCCCCAGGACCAGCTTCTCGCCCCGAGCCATTCTCAGACAGTCCTGGGGCCCGGACGAGGGCCAGGGAGCCCGAACGCGGCGAGAACCTCGGGGCCCGCTTCACGCAAGAGCCGTCTGCGCCATGGCGGCAACTGCTGAGCATCCGGGCACAGACCGCCTCGAAATTGGCCACGCCGGCATACTCCACCATGAACCTGGCGAGCCGCGCGCCAGCGCCCCTGATGCTCTCACTCTGACCGCAACTCTAGACGTGCCGCCCTGTCCGTACACAGGCCCGTGCGCACGGGATGGCCCGAAATGCGAAGAGCACACCTCTGCGTAGAAGGCATCAATCCGCCGCCGCCGTGCCCGGCCTCAGGGCCACCATGGGCCCCAGCCGTACGGTGCCCTGTCCCTGAGAGGAGCAGGCAGGTGCGAACCCCCGCCGGCGCACTCTCATCGCGAACACCCTGGAGGGGTGCACCACTGGGCCTTTTGCCTGCGCGGGCGGTGTGCAGCCATGCAGCGAGTATGTAGCCAGGTGAGCACATGGTGCATGCCCAATTGCACGGCCACCCCGCAACGGCCGTTTTCCCGCGCGAGCCCGCCGCGCACAGCACGAAAGGCGCTTCTACCCATCTGCGGTGGCCAGGAAGGATCTCGATCTGGATCCCGAAACATGGCGTTCGTAAAAAATCAGGCGAGGAGTTTCGGCCGCAATCTGTCCATGACGCTGTGCGGCCCGATGTGATGCACGTTCCGATCCGATTCGATGTCCCGCCCCCTGGTGGCTTTCGGATCGAAAATCAGGCCTCCAGCAGCCTCTCGGGAGGATCCAGGCACCCCTGGAACGCTCTCGGCGACGCACAGCCGCTGAAGGCACCCCGAGCCCGGAAAAAAACATCCAGAACCACCGAAAACTGCCGAAAACGTCCAACCTCATTCGGGACCTCGTCACGACGTCTGCCGTCGCGCCCTTCCCCGTGGACGCGCGGAGGTCACCTCGAGACTCTCAGGAGCCACCGCCCGAGCTGCTCTCGCACCAGCAGGCCTGGGCCCCCCAGGCCCTGGGGACCCCGCGGCTCCTGCGCTGCGCGAGGCGCCGTCATCGTCGCGCTCCCGCCCCTGCATAGGACGGAAACGGTGTCATGATACGATTGGCTCTGTATACCTTCCAGGACTACCAGGATATCCAGCGGCCCTCGCTTTTGCAGTACGTGTGGGAGAAATCTGGGAAATCCTGGCACGTATCATTATCCAGAACGAACAGAACTGCATAAACATAAACGGTCGAGCAACAAATGGGACGAAGGATCACCAGGAGGAGGAGGAGGAGGAGGACGACGACGACGACGACGACGATAGAGCCCTACGCGACGCCACACTGGCCCAGGGGGCCAGGGCTGGCGGGGCGGGCGGGCAGGCAGAAGGTGGGCCAGGCGAGGACTGCAGGAGGGAACCTCAGGAACCCTCCCAAAGCATCCCCACCGCCAGTCAGGACCCCCTGGATCGCCAGATCGCCAGGTCGTGAGTCGGGGTGTTGGCTGGGGGTGGGGGTGGGCCGCGCTGTCCTCATGTATGTGGAAATCGAGAGTTAACACAGATTCGCATCCTTTTCCACCTCCCTCCCTCTCCTCCTCTGAATGTCTTCCTCCCTTCTGGGGGAGGGCAGGTGGCGTCACGAGGTGGATCTGTTTCGTTGTCCTCCTCCTAGTATTGGGGAAGGGCGAATTGAGACAACCGAAACTCAAAATCGGCTCGAAATCGGTCCCCGAACCTCTCCAGGGGCCTAAACGCACACATTTTCCGAGCTGCGTCTAGCCGTGACGACGAGGCCCCTCCCGAAGGCCAACTACAGTCGGGCTGCTGAAATAAGGAACGCTGAATGAGGACCGAACCTCGTTGTTGGCCCGAAGGCGCCTGCGTGGACGAGAAACGCTGAAGAGACAGCCATGGATGGACCTGAGGGACATCGAGCCCCCTTTCCGAAATTCATCGGCCATGTCGGCGTGTGGAAGGCGATCTTCCGTTGGTCGCCGTCATCGTCGTCGTCGCATCGTCTCCGTCGCCCCCTCGTCTCGTCGTCGTCTCCGTTTCATTCGTCTCCTCGTCATCTCCGTCAACCGTCTTCTGCGTCGTCCCCCGTCTCCTCTCCCTGGGCCCTCCTCCTTGAGCGCACGCGCCAAACCGACACGAAGCAACGTCGTAGCCGAGTCGAAAGGAAGCCACTCCCTTTGATCCCTTGGGGGGGACGGGTCCTGGGGGGGGGTCCCGCGGAGGGGTCGCCCCCCCGATACGCATCCCCCCGGGCAGTTCCAGGGCCCAGAAAACCCCCAAGACGCAGCAAGAATGCCCCAAGAGGCCCCCAAGACGGTCTTCGAGGGCCCCGTATCGCCGTAGTATCGGTCCAAGACGCCAAAGTAGCCTCCAGACGGCTCAGGAGGTTGTCAAAACGCACCAAAATGCATCCAAGAACGCTCCCAAGAGGGCCCCAAGGGGCAAGAATCACAGATGGTCCTCGAGTTATTGGAAGATGTTGGCGTTGTCGCCTTGTCGGCTTCCCGACGCTCCAAGACAGCCCAAGCGGCCCCAAGATCGCCCACGACACCTCCAAGAGGGCCCCGCAACGACCCAACAGGGCCCCAAGACCGCCCGAAAGGCACGAAAGACAGCCCAAGAGGCCCCCAAGAAGTCTCCAAGAGGAAGCCCAGACGGGGAATGCCGAACGGACATTCCGAGCCCTCGGCCTGAGAGGCTCCCGGGAGGCCCTCAAGAAGCCCCCCGAGAGGCCCCCAAGAGCTCCCGCTCCCAAGAGGTCCCGAAGAGCCTCCCAAGAGGCCCAGAAAGTATCCCCAAGAGGCTTCCGAGACGTTCGGCGATTCGGTAACATAGTTCGCCAGATCCCCTGCTGGCTCGGGCAGTGAGATCCCCTCCAGGATCCCACTCGTCTGTGATCGCTTGCCCATTTGTGAGGTGACAGACATATCAAAATATGGACGTGTCTGTTTGGATGCAGGCTCGTCGTGCACCGCTGCCATGGGCGACGCATCGTCGTCGGAGGGGTCGACCGCCCCTCCGCATCCGGGTGCTGTCCGCCTCTGTAGTCATAAGAATCGATGTGCCGAGGCGAGAGGCTTCGGTTACAGGTTACATAGTTACCCACAGCCACCCACTCTTCTCGTTTTGTCTCCGCGTCCACAGCTCCGGGCGGACAACTAGTATCATAGATACTCGAATCTCCAAAGGAGGACTGCTCTGACTCTGCCCCCGTATCACGAGGAAGCCGCAGCGTTGACTTCACCGATGCGTCTGCGTCGGGTAAGACAAAGATCGCTGCATCCGAGACGGAATAATCTGAATTGATCACGTCGGCTTGATTCACGGATGCTGGCAGATAGGCCCATGGAGGCCCCCGGCTGCCGTCCCATCCTTCTTCATCCTGTCCTGTGGACGCGTGCGCTCGCGGGGTGTCGCGGCGATCAGCGCTCCGGCTCGATGGCGAGCCTTTGTGCTGAGCTGAACTCGGCTTGCTGGGATTCTGCGGAAGACTCGCAGCGGCACTGCTGAGACAATCAGCGGGTGCCGGCACGAGGGTCACTTTTCCTACATCTTGTGAGCATTAACGACAAGCGGAAGAAGCAGGCCCGGCCAGCTCCTTTTCCATGTTGTAGTTTTCTGGGTCTGCCTTCACCCCCTACTTATTTGGTCCCACTGCCCCCGAGGCTTGCGACACAGTCACGATACCTCGTGGCGAGTACTTCGCCTGATAACCAGCGCTTTGACGAGAAATATCCGATTGAGGGACATTCGTATTCGCAGGCAAGTGTTTGGAGTGATCATGTTGCTCTTGTTGTTCATCTTGTACTCGCAGATCGTGTAGCAGTTGTCTCATATTGAACCTCGGGGTAAGGGGGTCATCTTGCCGCCATGGCGATCATGAACCTTCTACATCATAGCAGAGATATCTGCGTAGAGGTATGTTTGTGTCATGTTTGGCGCCGCCAGCTCTCTGCTGGAGGGAATATTGCGGCGCGCGCAAAACAGGCGAAGGTAGCGTAGCTAATGCCTCCTCTCTTCCTCCCCGGGCCCATGTAAGGAGCAAGAGGCCTGCCCCCGTCCTCTTTTCACCCGCCGCTGCCGAGCCGACGTCTCGCCCACTGCGCAACGCCGGACCCGCAGCCGGAGCTGCAGCTGGCCACCTGGTGGGGGGCGGGCGGCGGCGCCGCATGGCTGGAGGCAGCCTCCTCCGTCGACGGCGGCGGCGGCGATGGCGACGACGACGATTACGACGGGAGCGACTGCGACCCCCCTTGCGACGCCAAAGAGCTGAACCCGAAACCCGTGGCGTATCTGCTTGGTGTCTCCGCTGGTCCGGTCCCTGCTTCCCACGCCATGGAAGGAAAAGAGCGAGGGAATGCTTAAGTCGGGCTTGTCCCTCTACAGGGGGAATCTTAAAAAATAGTTATAAAAAACATAGTCTGGGGACTTTTTTTTGAATTTTTTGGGGCATCTTTTGAATCTTTTTCGGGTATCTCCTATTTGTCGTCCAAAATCCCCCGGTAGGGGGACAGGCGCGACTTAAGGGAAGGCGTCAAAATAGTAAGGTCGAGCGGGCCGGCGGGCCCCGCCCCCGTCCCTCCCCCCGCCTCAACAGAAGAATCAACTGGGGCGCAACTCAGCAGTGGGATTGGGACGCGCTCCCCTTTGACGCCCGAAATGGGCACGGAAACAATGGGCGCAATGCCCAACAACAAGTGTTGTCCCAAACCAACAGCGGCCGCCGTTGGGCAGGCGGCCTTCTGTCTCGGATGAACACAGAACGCGGCGGCGCGGACAGCGAGTCCTGTTCAGAATGGACTAGAACCGCTGTTGGGCATCGTGCCCATTCTTTCTGTGCCCATCTCGTTCGTGCAGAGCCTACCTGCAAGAACGGAAGGCGCGAAGGCGCTTGCGCGCGGTCCCGCTTCCGACGACTCGGCGGCTGAGAAATCACGCGGACCGCGCAGGGGCGGGAGCAGAACATACTGGCACGGAGCGCTGAGTACGAACAGCGCGCGCGCGCGCGCTTGGCTGCGTGCCCGAAAGTTTCAGCGGAAATTGGTCAACCTATCGTGTCAATGGTCGCCCGAGAGCTCTGAGCCCGTCCGGCATCGATTCCTGCACTTTCCGAACCCAACGTTCGGGGGGCCTTTCACCCCATCGTTCGCTCCAGCGTTCTCCCAGTCGTTCGCTCCAGCGGGGCGGAGGCCGAACCTTAGAAAACATCCCGGCACGGGGAGGGGGCCAGAGCACCATTTATAGCTCTGGGGGGGGGGCGAGGGCACCAGTTACAGCTCTACCGCATTGCGCGACGGCGACGACGAAGCATGCGCCGCGCCGAGGCAGCATCGCCACGCTCACGCACAAAACTCCGGTGGCAACTCATGTGAGCCTCCCATACCATCTTGCTCGCTCTTGCGGACCGACGCGAACAGACACTACATCGAAGCTAATCGACGCTAAGCAAGCGCTAGCTCATCGATGGCCAGACGCTAGTCGACGCGAGTGCTTCCAAAAAACTGAAGCACGAGGTGCACAAAACTCCCATGATCTGCGACCCGCAGCATACCGCTGCCCGCCCTCGCACGGCCCCACTGCCGCTGCCAATCGTGCCCCGCGCCCACTCGGGAACGCCACTTCCAGGCGAAATGTGCACGGAGCCCGAGCGAGGGCGAGGGTAGGCGCGAAATCCTCGTCGGCCGTTGTTTATTATTTAGGAATGAAAACCTAGGTTCAGCATCTGCAAATAATACCCTATGGATTATTGTCCTGTGAATGGATTGGACTCAACCGTCCCCCCAGCCGAACCATTATCTTTCCGGAATAATCAACCTAAATTTAATATTCCAACATTATGAACCACGGTGCATTTCAGGCCAGAATGTACCCCCTAACGGCGCCCCCCAAGCTCAATCAGTATCATTCCAGACTAATAAACACAAGGTCAATAACCGGGGAACATAATGAATCCGGGTTTCTTATCTCCTGGAACAAATGAGCCGGGGTGAATATTCCGACATGAAAACCTGGTGGGAACCCAGGAGTTGGGTTGGTGAGGAACCCGGGACATTGTAAACCCCAGTCAAATATTCCAGGAGCATTATGAACCCAGGATAATATGTTTTTGGGGTCGAGCCTGAGTGCCTTGAGCCAGGCTTGAGCCAGGGGGGCTTGAGCCAGAGGGGGCACGGAGGCTGGTGGGGATATGCGAAGCGTGAAGAATTTCTTGGGTCCCTGCTGTGATCATGCTGGGGCCAGCAAGCCCCGCGCACGCTCATGAGCTTGCAGACGGTCCCCCCGCTGGCAGTGACGACCCTGAGCCTCTGAGCTTGTCCTCAAGCAGTGGCGAGACGTCCTGGCTCACCTATAGGCCCACCAAACATGTTCGAAGACCCATGCTCTTGGAACATTCCTGCCTGATGCAGTCGTGCTATCATGCATCGGCCTTGTGGCGTTCCATGAACATCGTTTCTGTCGTTCAAACACTGTTTTCTAAGAACGTGTCGTGGTAGGCCTACAGGATTGCCGGGACGGTCGGCCCCTGCTCAGCATCCCCCCCTTCGTAGCGCCCGCCTTCGTGGCGGGTCTGCAGCCGTGGCCTCGGCCAACGGGCTCCGCCGCGCGTGTGCGCGAGGCCTCGCGGAAAACAAGCTGCAGCGGCCCGGCGGCCACCGGTGGGGCGGCGGCCAGCTGAGCGGCCTTGGAGGCCGAGGGCTCTCTCTGGCCCTCCCCCTCCTCACCCTCCTCACCCTTCCTCCTCCTCCTCCTCCTCCTCCTCCTCCTCCTCCTCCTCCTCGATCCAACTAGGGAACTTCAGTCCGCTGGATCCGTCGTCTTCGGCCGGCTCGATCCGATCCGACTCCGACATTCCGACGGTGCCTGCATGGTGCCGCTGTGCATCCCCGCGCGGCCGGCCCAATTCGATGTCGGTTCCTGGCCAGCGCGCCCGATTCGATGCACCCAGTTCGAGGCCGACTGACCCTGCGTGCTCCTGCTCCTCCTCCTCCTCCTCCTCCTCCTGCTCCTTCTCGTGCTCCTGCTCAACTCCGTTTCCTTATGAGTACCTCCTCCCTGTCGCACCCCAAAGCTGGTCAAAAGGGCGGGCCAGGCGTTTCGCCTGAGACCTCCTCATAATGATCCTGAAGCTTGTAACTTTGCAACAGTTTCACCAATGGAGGACGGCCTGCTTCCAAAATGTGACTCTCGCCTCAGCGCCGCGCATATCTGTCTTGAAGAATTGCGAGGGCTTCACGGATGGAGGGCGGCCGCTTTTAAAATGTGGCTCTCGCCGTAGCGCCACGCACATTCGCCTTATCAACTTGCAAGAGTTTCACGGATGGAGGGCGGATCCTTTTCAACATGTGGCTCTCGCCTAAGCGCCGCGCACACTCGTTATGAAGCATTGCAAGAATTTCGCGGATGGAAAAAGGTTCCTTTCCAAAATGTGGTGTTCGCCTTCACGCCGCGCCGTGCACACCCGTCTTCAACAATTGCACAAGCTTCACGGATGGTGGGCGGTTCCTGTTGACAATCTGGCTCTCGCCTTAGCGCGGCGCACATTCGTCTTAACAGATTGCAGCAGCTGCAAGTATGATCCGGGCTAGCGTCCCAGAAATGGTTTTGGCACGATGACGGAGCGTCAGGGCGCAACAGTCACGCTACTTCGCGATGTTGAAGTCCCACAATTGGCGTTCTGGCGCGATTCAGGATCGTCAAAACGCCATTTCAACTGTTGTCTTCCAACGGGGCACTCCCCACAGTGAAGACAAGCAGCGTAAGGGGCCTACGAAGAGTGAACCTGGAGGGAGGTTTTATTGCAGCATCGTAGATCAATCTTGAATTTACACTGGTCCTCCTCCTCCTCCTCTCGACCCACACTCTTCCCGTGCAGGTGCGGTAGCGCTGGCAGAACTGCCGGATGGGCACAGGGCGGACATGATGCAACGATTTGCACTAATCACACAAACTCAGATGTCTCTGCTTCTCGTCATGTGTTTTTTTTTTTTTTTTTTTTCTCTCTCTCTCTCTCTATGTATGTACATACATACATATAAAAGTCAATGTCTCTCTCTCTCTCTCTCTCTCCCTGCCTCTCTGTTTGGATGAGCTTTCTGGAGCGCAGCAACTTTCGCCGCAACAGCTCGGCTCCATCGATACTCTGGCCAGGGACCACCCCAAGACACACTCGCAATTCGATATTGATGGGGCTGACGCTTCCAGGTCCAATGATTGCCAACTACAAACGATGCTGCTTTGAACCATCCCCAACCGAGAACGCGAAGCAGGACCCCCGGGAGACTCTGGGCCCCTCAAGTCGCTGCGGCCGCGACATGCCATCGTCACTCGTCGAAAGGAGCAACGGCATTCTTTGGGCCTGGCGGCCACGACATACGCCGTTCGTCGAAGACCCGAAGCGGGACAACCAAAGAGCACCCGCACGCTTTGGACCTGGCGACCGCGAGACAGGTCGGGAGATCTGTCTCCAAATCTACATCCCCAATGTTTCCGCTGGGGAGCAGAACAGGTCGAGGCCCGAAAAAGGAAAGGGCCGAGAAGTCCACAGACTGGCGAGGGCCGAATCCGGGGAGGATTCCGAGAGGCGTTCAGGATGCCGCCACGAACCCCCCCGAGAGCGCACGAGAGCCGAAGGCAGCCCGATGGAGCCCAAGAGAGCCCACAGGATGGCCCTCGACGGCCGCGAGGAGAGCGCGGACAGAGGGCGCGCTCGTGCTCCAGGCCAGCTGGGCAGAGCTCTCCGCCTGGAAGAGGGGCGCAACACAACCAGCGCGGTCCAGCTCTGGGGAGAGGCTTGGGGGCGGCCAGGGGGCCGGAACTGGATGGGGCACTCAGAGGATCTGGCCAGAAGGGCGATCGAGGCAAATCTGCTCCAAATCGGCACATGGGCCCTCCCGGCCCGAGAACGGCCCCCTGAGGAAGAGACAAGCCGAGCACCTGCCCTCACCCAGCGCCTCGAACCTGAACCCCACCCCCCTTCCCGCTGGCCAAAGCCAGTGCTGGGCCACCTCGGGCCCCAGCCGACTCCAGAGCATGCCAACACGGCCGCGAGCGGAGCGCGTAAGGGGCAACACCAAAGGCGCTGCCAGGAGGGGTTCAGCAATGATCAAGGAGACCCGCAAGAACCTTAGAAACTGCATGACTGTTTGTCTTGTTCTGTGACTTAACGGTACCTTCCTGGGGAAAGGCGGTGTACCGATACAATAATTCTTGGAACTCTCCCAGGGTGCATCCTGGCCAGCGAAGCGAAGCCAGCTTTTGCCACGAGGGCCTTCCAGGAGGACCACGAGGGCAGCAGCAACGAGAGAAGGGCAGCGACCCCAGAATCGGCACCGTTTCCCCCTCTGGCTTACTCCTGTGATCCCAGTCCCTCCCCCTGAGACGCCTCCCAGACGGGGTCGGAGTATCGCTCCGCATCGTCGATGCATCCCCGATGCATCGGAGACGTCGGGGATGCACCAGCGCCGTCGGCGTGGAACAATTTGCCACTCAGATCCAACTCAAATGCAAGATGAGGGTGAGGAGAATTGGAGGCTGCCAAGGGGTCTGAACTGGATGGGACCCGAGACAATCAGTCAAGAAGGATCGGGGCAAGTCCGCTTGAAATCGGTCCCCATGCCCCTGTCGGAGTCCATTTGGTGTAACGTTTGACTCCAAATCCGTTTCTGACGGTCCTAGGGCCCGAAAACGGCCACCCCGTCCAGAAAGCCCCCCCACCAAAAAAAACATCCGAACACCACACCTGCGACAGGATCCCCTCCCCACCACGGGCCGCGGACGCTGAGCCCGCGGCGGTCGGCATTGTTGCCGGATCCGTGAACAAGGCGGCAGTGCTAACTTCCGGAGTGCGCGCGTGGCTGGGCGGCGTGGTCGGTAGGCCGCCCCCCCCCGGGGGGCTTCGAGGGGGTCCCGGGGGTCGCCAGGCCCTCCTTCTCCTCCTGCTTCCTCCTGCTTCCTCTTGCTCCTCCTCCTCCTCTTCCTGCTCCTCCTCTGACCCCCCAGATTCAAAGAACAAAAACCACGACGGAAGGTTTTCGGCGTATTCGGCCTGCGGGGGCCTTCGCCAGGCCCCAAGGCCATCAAAGAAACGACCTGAGATTAAACGCTGGTCCCAGAAACTTGTCTCCACGCTTTCTTCAAATCACCACCACCACCACCAACAACAACAACAACGGCAACAACAGCAACAGCAACAGCAACAGCAACAGCAACAGCAACAGCAACAGCAACAACAACAACAACAACAACAACAACAACAACAACAACAACAACAGCAACACCACCAACAACAACAACACCAACAACACCAACAACACCACCACCACCACCAACAACAACAACAACCGCAACGGCAGCAACACCAACAACAGCGGCAGCAACAGCAACAGCAGCAGCAGCAACAGCAACAGCAGCAATGCCAGCAACAACGACAACACCAGCAACAACAACAACGACAGCGATAACGACAACGACAACCACAACATCAACAACGACAACCACATCAACATATGAGAACAACAACAACAACCACAACAACAACAGCAACACCAACAACAACAACAACCATAACAATAACAACACTATTATGTTTAAAACTGTTCGCCCTATCTGCGCGAGTGTCCTATAACGCGTATTTCCCAAACCCTCGATACCCGCCCTGTTCGTCTTCGATCGAACCCCTTTTGGGGGGTATGCCTTTCTTCCCTGCAGGCTGGGTCTCGGCAAGCGGCGGGGCGGCCGCGGACCTTCGGCCTGACCAGCGGCAGCGCTGATCGGCGGGGCGGCCGCGGACCGTCGACCCGACCCCAAGAGGGACGGACAGGGGGCCGACCACGACGACGACGACGACGACGACGACGACGACGGCGGCGACGACGACGACGACGACGACGACGACGGCGACGTCGAGCGAAAGCGAGAGCGAAAGAGAACGACAGCAGGGCCACAAGGACACGAAGTAGGCCACGAAGGGCAACAGCGGGGACACGAAGGGAATTCGTATGGGGCCACGAAGAGCACGAAGGAGCGGGGGCCACGAAGGGCAGATAATGTGGGGCCACAGAAGGCAACGATGGGGCCACTGAGGGTAGCAACTGGGCCACGTAGGACAGATGCATATAGGGCCACCACGGGCGCGAACGAGCGGGGGCCACGACGGGCATACATATATGAGGCCACGAAGGGCTGCAACGGGGCCACGAAGAGATGCAACGGGGCCACGAAGGGTAGCGAGGGGGCCACGAAGGGCTGCAACGGGGCCACGAAGGGCTGCGACGGGGCCACGAAGGGCAGCGAGGGGGCCACGAAGGGCTGCAACGGGGCCACGAAACAAAGCGAGGGGGCCACGAAGGACTGCAACGGAGCCACGAAGGGCAGCGAGGAGGCCACGAGGGGCTGCAACGGGGCCACGAAACAAAGCGAGGGGGCCACGAAGGACCGCAACGGGGCCACGAAACAAAGCAAGGGGGCCACGAAGGGCTGCAACAGGGCTACGAAGGGCAGCGAGATCCCGATTCCTATTTAATCTGTGAGGGAGTCCTAAGCGTGAGCGCGACTCCTGGGTGCCTGGGTGTCGGGAGCGCGGCGCTTGAGTAAATTGCAAGAAGTTCCAACGCAAGGGCGCTATTCTTCAGTAAACTCCAAGCAAGTCTCCAGCGAGAGCGCGACTCCAGAGCGCTGGGAGAATAAATGCTGAGGAAGTCCTGAGCGAGAGCGCGATTCCTGAATAAAACGCGAGGAAGTCTCGGGCGGGGAGGGGGCCCTGGCTAAATTGTGAGGAAGTCTCATGCGGGAGCCGTTGTTGTTGTAAACCGGGTGCCAACGACACAGTTTGACCCTCAAGACTTTCCCTGATAGACAGGGTGCGAGCCCGGGGAAGGGCACTTCAATCGAAAAAACAATGTACACCGGACGGGGGGGGATCAACAATAATTATTCTTCAGAAATGAGAGTTCAACAACAACTACAACAACAGAACACACACACACAACAAAACAAACACTCACACATACACAACGTCAGAGATCTGGGTCCTCCTCCTCCTCCTCGTCCTCCTCCTCCTACTCCTCCTCGTCGGCCTGCTTCCTCCAGCTCCCTGTTGTTTCCTGCTCCTGATCCTCCTGCTTCCTCCACCCTCTTGCCTCTGCTCTCAGGCAGGCTGCGGGGCGTTCCAGCTGCACCTTCCTCCTAACCAGCCTCGAGCTTATCCCTACCCGTCAGTCGGAAGGAGGAGGTAGAAACATGAAGTAGGAAGACGTTAGAAAAAGATGGTGCTTCCGCACGCCCTCTGAAGAGGAAGAGAAAAGGAAGCCACCACTCGATCATTGAAGTAGGAAAACGCCTTGAGTAAATTGGGATCCGAGAATCACTAAGTACCGACTTTCAGCAACGGGCGTGTATCCCTAAGGTTGACAAGCACAAAGGCGATAGCAATCTTAGGGATGCGCCCTCAGAAACTGAGGGAGTCCTGGAGGTAGGCACCGAGAAGAGGCGATGCCAATCTTGGGGATACGGATATGTTCCAAGCTGGTAACCTCCTCCTCCTCCTTCTACCACCTCCTCCTCCTCCCATCTTCTCTCATCTCCCATCTCCTGCCTTCGTCGCCTCGGGCTCTGGCTGCTGTCAGAAGCCATGGCCTGCTCGAGCATCTCGCCAAGGTGGACCCTGGGAGAGGTCCGGAGTCCGGCGTCCAGGAACTGCTTCAAGCAAGATTTGGCCGTAGAACCCAGAAAGCTTCGACGCCGTCATTTGTTCGATCCCTGTGTTCGGCCCCCAGAAACACTTTTCGGGCCCTTGGACTCTCAAGAAACGTCCCTGGACGAGAAACTCGCCTTTGTAAGAGGTCGGGGGCTCTGGGGATGCAGGATTTGCTTGAAAGCAGCAGGAATCACACACCACATACATGTATATATGTATATACATGTATGTATATATATATATACACACGTGTATGTGTGTATATATATGTATATATATATGTATGTATGTATGTGCATATGCGTATATATGCATGCAGCCCCGAAAAACGACGCCGGAGATCTGGGAAGCTCGGCAGCTCCTGGTTACCTCTCCCAAGACCAGCGCCAAGGGGCCTCATGTTTAGCCCGTGACGTACTCAAATGGCCTCAACACTTGCGCGGTTTGCGCACTTCGGGTCACGCCAATCGGGTCCCACCCATGAGGCCCCTCAGTCCGCAATAGACTGTCGGAGGTTGGGCGGCGAGAACGAAGCGTCCTCGACCGGAAGTTCAGTGTCGGATTCGGTTGATATCGCGCGTGCAGGCGAGGCGAAGCTGCGCGAGGGCGACGCTGTGCTGGCGTAGCTGGGGCCAAATCGTTCAACAGGTTTGACCGGTTGCGCTATTCCTCGCGCAATTGCGTGCCACAATTAAATCGTGCTTCCCGTGGCTGTCACACGGTTATCCAGTGGGTTGTCCCGAGGTTGTCCAGTGTGTTGTCCTGTGGTTTGTTGTCCCGCGGGATGTCTGGTGGTGGTCCCCAGGGTTGTCCTGTGGATGTCCTATGAATCGTGGAATGCTTAATGCTTGTCCAGTGGGTTGCTCTGTGAATTGTCCCGTCGCTGTCCCGCAAAATGTACACATCAAACCAAACTGAATATATATATATATATGTATATGCAAATAGAAACAGACCGACCACGCACACATCGAACACATAATGCACATGTCTTCCAAACTGAAAACATTGAATTCAAATCGTGATGTATGCTACATTGCAATCGGAACGCAAACCAACCTGAAAAACGGAATGTAAATGATACTGCGCATCGCACTGCCGATCGAACATCCGGTCGATATGCACAGCGACATGTAAGGCGAAGTGAAAGATGACATGTAAGTTGGAATGCGTTTCTGGATAGCGCCCGCAATGCAAATCGTAAGTCAAATACGTACCTAGCACCCCGCATTTGCGGATAAGAGTAAGGGGGTGGACGCGGCCAACGAGAGCGCCGACGCGGCGGACTTCCTGGCCCTCGCCTTTCCTCGGCCCCCTCGCTTGTGTTCGTTTGCTCCTCCCTCCTCCTCCTCCGCCTCCTCCTCCTCGTCCTCGTCCTACTCCTTCTTTCTTTCTCCTCCTCCTCCTCCTCCTCCACCTCCTTCCTGCTCCTCCTCTTGCCTGGGGTGGGTCGCGGGTTGGGTCGCGGGGACTGCCGAGAACCTCAGGACCCGCTTCCCTCAGGACCCAGCCGCTTCACTCGAAGGAGAAGCGCATGCACAAGCAGACACTTCCGGAGGTCCACGCAGATTTCTGGCATGGGCGCTGGGCCCTCCTCCCTGGCACGCCGAGCGCGCCAGGGGCGGCACTGGAGGTGCCGCCAGGGAGGCCCAGCGCAGATCCAAGAAATCTGCGCGGAACTCCAACGTTTAATATTTACAGTCGTCGTGCTACCGTTGGGAAAACTGAATCAAGAACGAAGAATTTTTCTGGTCACGGCAAGCCTTGGCCACGAACCCAGATCTGAGGCACGGCCCGGACGCCAGAGACGCCCCTAAGCCAAAAGTGATCCTTACTTCAGCGTCTTGACTGCATGCTTGTAATTATCTCGGCGGTGCCCCTAGTGAAGATGTGAGAGGGGGCGAGCCTTCTTAGAAGGCTCCAAAGGCCTCTGGCCTTCCGAGAATATTGCTAAGGTTTCCCCGAAGACGCGAAAAAGTATCGGAAGGCTGCAGTGCTTCTGGGCTCCTGAGACGTCCAGCCACATTCTGAGAAGGCCTGCTCCCTCTCACTTCCCCCTGGCCTCGCCGCCGATTATCATCGGCGGTGGACAAATCTCCCTTTAGTAAACCTCCCCTTAGTGAAAACAACCTAGGACCGATACCGACGGACCTGGACCCGCAAAAATGACGGCCGCGACGCCCCCTCGCGAACCGAAAACGGCCGATTCCTTAATCGACGTGTCAGGGTATGAGGTCTGTCCACCCCCGATATCAGGTGTTCTCTCCTCCGGCTCGTGGCGCCGACCCCCCCCCCGAAGAGAGGCAACCGTCCCGACCGCGCGCGGCTCGGACAGCCGCTGTCCGACGGCTCCTCCGCGGAGGGGCTCACGTCGGACGGCTCGTCGTCGCGGGTGAACGACGCGGCCATGAATTCGGACTGCCCACG